ATACCTGAAAGACATCATGATCACGCGACATTCCAAGTTATGTACTGAAGCATAACGATTGTCGAGCTTTTTGTTCAGAGGATAAAACCGCAACTGCTCTCGAGACAGATCTATATCATAGCACGCAGTACCAACGGTTCCCTTCCATACAAGCACTCCACCGGTTACCATTAGCGAAGCTTCCTAGAAATTAGAGATATCATATTCGAGCTGCTCGAATGTGAGCGTCAACGAATAGAGCTGAGAAGTGTGCTGGACCAGCATAAACAACCTACATGACTTTCGTTGCCAAAAATCTTCCACCTGCCTGCCGGCAGCGTACAGTGTGCTAAGCCACGAAGCCCTGCCACTACAAGAGTTTTGGCACAGTCCTGATCGACAGCAGCATACTAATGGATGAACGTTTAGATATTTGGTTCTAACGAAAATTCAACTGAAACTCTTACCCGTATGGGCCAGTTTGAGGCGACATACTCATGTGGTGGATTGTGAGTCGACCAAACAGCGTGCGGAGCGCTGGCGTTATTTTCGCGCTCACGATTCGAGCTGATGAGAATTCTTGAGCTACACATTAATACGACGTAAGTTGCATGATCCTGTGATAAAAATCAATCCTTACATTCATGATCGCACTAAAAATCTACACAGAACGTACCATTATAGGGTTACATAACGCAGCCGATCTGGCCATAGGCAAAATGGCTAATCCGTCGCTCCGTCCCAACCATAAATGATACCCTTCAGGCCCCCAATCAACCGATGTGTACGATATCGAGGGAGCGCCATCGCTGAAATATCGGCATGATATATGGACTTCGGGATGACAAAGCACTTACCTGTCCGCGACAGATTCTAGCGAACACCAGGTCTGAGTACCGAATGGGGTAAATACAGCTAAAGTTGGAGGTAAGTGAGCTGCCGTATCGGACCCATTACTGTGCATTGTTTTTGAAGACCACACGGCAACGAATGCACCTCCATTGCTCAGCACTTTTATTCCAGATACGCTGCCTACCCGATTGGCAACATCTGAAAATAAGTGCTTATCTTTGCTGGAATGGAGATACCAGACTAAGAAGTACGCATCCTACAGTTCCGTACAAATTTCATAATTCGTATTGGTTTGTGAACATCGATAGCAAATCCTCAGTGCAAACGTTGCAGATAAGAACTGTTGAACAACTGTTTTTATGAGCAAAATCCATCGAAACTATTTTGTATAAAGAGATGGCAATCTAAGGAACACAATAAGAAAAAACCTGACCTGGGCCATTCTGCACCTTGAGGGCAACTCGAAATGTTTGAATGAGTGACCCATCAGCATCATCCAGATGATATGCAGCCACGTCTCCACTAAATTGCGTAGTATTCCAGCAATTCAGTTTGAGCAAACAAAGAAAAGAGTAAAAAACATACTTCGCACAGCCAAACGTTAGTAGCCGAAATTTATGATTCACATCGGTGCATGTTGCATCCTTCATATTTAGCGCCCAAACACCGAGAACACTCTGATGATGTGGATGATCTTCTGCTGATATATGCAAACATTACGAAGCAAGCTCACATTCGGATGAAACCGTGAATCGGATGACGTGAGTAGTGCAGCGCGACCATCTGACAAAACAATGCAATATCCGCCCACGAGCGGTGCATAGACTGCATCTACTACGTGAGCATTCTGGTCGGTGACAAAGTCAGCTAAACACAGCGCAAGTAAAAGAAATGAATTTTGTAATTCCAAGGCACTGGCCATACTTCGCCCAAAAGCACTCAAAAGCGCCCAAAAGCGCCGGAACGCCTCCTCACGGA